CGCTTCTGAATGTTTTTTGCCTTTGTTTTTGCTTCAGCTTGCCTCAGTGTACAAAATATTTACTTTTTGCCTTGTACGCATTTCGGCAGCTGTTATTTTCCGCTTGTGGGTGGCTGGCGATATTTTATTTCTCTTTACTTAAAACACTTATGTTTTGTAGCTCGTAATCCGAGCATGATTTCCTATTTATGAATTTGATATTTCCCTCATATTGCCTTGCTTTGAACTTACATGCTTGAATATTTGGATTGCTTTGAACGAGAGTTCGTTTTTTTTTTTATTTTTTTTATTTTTTTTTTTTTGTTACTAAGTACAAAGCTTCGGCTTAGAGGTCTCAGCTGAGGCAGTCTGCACTTGTTGTGCCTCTTGCCCCCCCAGAGATTTGAAGACTTGTTCTTCAGATTTCTAAGATCATTTTTGTTTTCCTTGTCTATTTTCTATTAGTTTATGCTTTTGCTCTTGATTTTCTGTCTATTTGAAAAAATGGATATTTCAAACATAGGGTCAGCTGAAGGCAGTGTTTTAAATAATGGTTATCTGGGATACAAGGCTCAGTTAAGTCAATATCCCAGATTTGTCCATGGACTCGATGCCTTATAGAACAAGCCTTACTGAGGTTTTCACCCCAGCTGAAAGACCTGTGTTCTTTGAAAAGGCGAGTTTATCGGCTATCCAAAACCTGATGCTCTAAGGGCGAAGGTTTTGGACAGGGCCGAAGGAAACCCTTAAAGAGTAGATAGAATAAAGAAAAAATAAAAGAGTAAAAATTGCAATTGTTTGTAGAAAATAGTGGCTCAGAGGCCCTTCATTAATAATCCAAAATGTACTTACAAAGATTGTTCTGCCCCGAAGGGTTTACACATGATATTTTTTAAGTACATCAGCATTCTAGTGATTTTTCAGCTCGGTTCCATCCAACTGCCGAAGCCGGTATGTTCCTGATTGAAGCTCATCATAGATTTCATAGGGTCCCTCCCAAGCAGCTGAGAGCTTCCCATGAATTCGACTTTTCTGTACTGCAGCAGCATTCCGAAGGACGAGGTCTCCAATTTTGAGAGGCCTTGCCTGGACTCTTCGGTTGTAAAATTTGCTAATTCTCTGCTTGTACGCAGCCATTCTGATTCGGGCCGAGTCTCTTACTTTGTCAAAGAAATCGAGAGATTCCTTCATAAGTTGCTCATTCTCGGCCGAGAAGTGGTGCACTCGCAGGCTTTCAGTGCCAATTTCCATTGGGAGAACGGATTCGGCGTCATACACCAATTCAAAGGGTGAATGGCCAGTTGCCTCTTTTTCGGTTGTCCGAAGGGACCAGAGAGTTCCTGGGAGCTCCTCCAGCCACTTGGACTTTTGATCCTCCACCATCTTTTTGAGGGCATTCAGGATCTGTTTATGTGCAGCTTCAGCTTGTCCGTTACTTTGCGGGTGACATACCGCTGAATATGCCAGCTTGATGCCGAACTGATCTGTATATCGCTTCTGCGGCAGATGATCGAATTGCCTTCCATGATCAAAGACAAATACTTTCGGGATGCCAAAACAAGTGATGATATTCTGCTAGATAAATTTCCTGACAGTTTGCTCTGTAATGTTCGAGGCTGCTTCGGCCTCAATCCATTTACTGAAATAGTCAACACTGACTATCAGCCATTTTTTCTGGTATGCGGCATCCGAAAATGGGCCTAGGATATCCAACCCCCATTGAGCAAATGGAAGTGGACTCAGCACGGGCTGAAGCTCATGGGCTGGCTGATGGATGACTGGTGCGAATTTTGACAATTTTCGCATTTTCTGACCAGCTCCTTAGCGTCTGAGATCATGGTGGGCCAATAGTACCCTGCCCTTAATGCTTTGTGGGCTAGAGTCCTTCCCCCAATGTGGTACCCACAGATGCCGAGGTGGATTTCCCGAAGGATATAATCTGCATCTGTCGGCCCCACACATTTCAGCAACGGGGCTGAGAAGGATTTCTTCAGCAGTTCCCTCTTAAGGACAATGAACCTTGAACCGGTTCGCTTCAACTTGGAGGCCAAAATTTTGTCTTCGGGAATTTCTCCCCGAAGCTTGAAAGCTAGGATGGGGTCCATCCAGCTTGGTTCCTGGTCAATGCAGCACACTTCAGGTGCTTCATTGACACTTCTTTCTCGTCGTACCTCCACATAAACAGATCGGTTCAGCTCAATGAGAGTTAAACTAGCAAGTTTGGAGATTGCATCGGCTTGAGCATTTTGACCCCTTGGGATCAGCTGAACTTCAAAAGTTCTCAGCTTTGCAATAACTGACATGATCTTTGAAAGGTATGATATCAACGAGGGCTCTTTGGCCTCGTAAATGCCACCGATCTGATATGCAACTAGCTGAGAGTCTATCTTCAGACAAACGTGCTCGGCTTCCAATGAGATGCACAGTTCTAGGTCGGCAATGGCTGCCTCATACTCGGCTTTGTTATTCGAAGTTTTGAATGAAAATTTTAGTGCATACTCAAAGGACTTGCCTTCAGGAGAGGTTGTAACCACCCCTACCCCCAAACCGTTCACGGTGGAGGATCCATCCGTGAACACGGTCCAGGTTTTCTTTTCATCGTCTAGCGTCTCCTAGTACGAGCATTCGGCCAGGATGTCCGCCAGAGCTTGAGCCTTTATGGCCGCTCTCGGCTGGTAGCTGATGCTGAACTCTGTGAGCTCGAAAGCCCATTTGGCCAGCCTACCAGATTTCTCAACTTTGCCGAGAACCTTTTCTAGCGGCTGATCAGTCAAAACCACTATTTGATGACAATCAAAATAGGGTCTCAACTTCCGAGCGGCTACCACCACTGCGTAAGCAACTTTTTCGACTAAGGGGTAGCGGGTCTCGGCATCCGTCAGAGTGTGCTGACGAAGTAGATTGGTTGCTGTGTTTTATTTTCTTCCCTCAGCAACACTGCACTGATGGTGGCTGGCTGACAGCCACGTACAAGTACAGGGACTCTCCCTCTACTGGGCTAGCCAATGTTGGAAGTTGAGCTAGATGCTCCCGAAGCTGCTTGAAGGCTTCTCTTTGCTAGTCCTCCCAGACGAGCTCTTTCGTTTTCGGGAGTTTCAGGGCTTTGGAGAAAGGTAACCCCTTATCCGAGGCCCTAGAGATGAACCTCGAGAGGGATGCCATTCTTCCGGTGAGCCGCTAAACGTCCCTTTTTGTTTTCGGCTCGGGAAGATCGAGCAGTGCCTGCACCTTAGAGAGATTGGCATCAATCCCTCTTTTGCTGACCATGAACCCAAGGAATTTCCCTGGCTTTACGCCGAAGACACACTTCTTCGGATTCAGCTTCATCTGGTGCTTTCTTAGAGTGGCGAAAGTCTCCGCCAGGTCCGTAACATGGTCTTCATCTTTTTTGCTTTTGACGATAGAATCGTCGAAATAGACTTCCATGTTTCGGCCTTTTTGCTCGGCGAAAACTTGGCCCACCAGCCTTTGGTATGTTGCCCCCGCATTTTTCAATCCAAAGGGCATCATTTTGTAATTGTACACCCCGGCGTTCGTGACGAATGCCGTCTTTGCTCGGTCGTCGGGGTGCATGAAGATCTGATGATACCAAGAAAATGCGTCCATGAAACTAAGCAAGGCATGGCCACTTGTCGAGTCGACTAGCTGATCGATCCTCGGCAAGGGATATAAATCTTTCGGACATGCCTTATTTAGGTCCGTGAAGTCAACGCACATTCTCCAGGTGCCATTTGCCTTCTGAACCATCACCACATTAGCAGCCATTCTGGATACTGACAGGTTCGATGAAGCCTGCGTCCAGTAACTTTTTGACCTCGGCTGCGATGTCTCGTTTCTTATTTGCGGAGTAATTCCGCTTCTTTTGCTTAACTGGCCGACACGTTGGGTCGACGTTAAGCTTATGAGAGATGAGGTCTGGAGTTATCGCAGGCATATCAGCTGCCGAGAAAGCAAACACATCTCGGTTGTCCCGAAGGAGTTGGATGAGCTCAACGCGGACTTTCGGATCAAGATCCAGCCCGATTGTAACGCATCTTTCGGTGTCTCCTTCGGTCAACTCGACCGTTTCGGTCTGCTGGTCCAGCTCCATTGCCATGGGGCTGGACTCTTCGTTTTCTGGCCTGTTGTCTATGTCAGCAGGGGTCCCAGATTATTTCCTCTTTGGCTGGCTCTCCGAGTCTTTCGGCTCAGATGATGAGCTAACATTTTATTTTCCTGGCCCTTTTTCATTGGCCAGGTCTCCTTGAGCCGAAGCACTTAGGCCTTTCGGCTTCTTCGCGCTCGGCTGCCTATCTTTCTCCTCCTCATCCTCGTCGTCATCTTTTGTACGACTGGTGGATGGCTTGAGGTAGTTGCACCTTCGGGCCTCCTTTTGGCTGCCCTCGATCCTTTCGGGGTAGCTGGCATCCGAGACATAGATCATCAGCTGATGGTACGTCGAGACTACCCTTTGGATCTCGTGAATAATGGGTCTCCCCATGATCACGTTGTATACAGAAGGAGCGTCGATGACTAAGAATTCGGTCATGACGTTCCTGGCTGCCTCATCACAGCCGATGGTGACAAGAAGTGTTACCTTCCCGTTTGGATAAGTTGAAGCGCCATTAAATCCGGATACCGGGTAGGGTACCGGCGTGAGGTGCTTAGGCTTCAAATTGATTTGGTTGTAGGCCTTTCGGAACAAAATGTTTGCTCCGTTGCCACCATCAACAAGAACCTTGCTGACCCCAGCCGACCACCAATCGACCCCAGCCGACCACCACACGGCCATCGCACCAACATTCGACCGCCGCAACACCACTTCTCCACTAGCTACCACCCACAACACCACCTTTAGCTTCACTAGCCTCTACCTTCGCGAATCGTCCCCAACCGACCACCACAAGCCGCTGCACCAACATTCGACCGCCGCAACACCACTAGTACGAGCAAATCCCTTTCCCTAAAGGGTTTGTATGGCCCCAATTTTCATAAATTGCTACTAGGGTGTCGTTTTTTGGCCGGCCGCTTTATATCCGCTAATGTCATCGACCTTGGGCATGGGAATGGAAGAGAGAGAAGGAAGTTGTGGCCAAGGTAATGGAGGAGAGAGAAAGAAAAATTGGTCATGTGAGGGGAGGAGAGAGAAAAATTTGTGATATTAACAAATTTTTGTTGATATCGGTTATCAACTGGGTCTGGCTCCAGAGAAAGTAACACATTGGTCTACTTCTATACTGTCTATATTAATTTGTGAAAATCAAGCTTTTAATCATTCAATCAAGCTACAAGAAATACAATATGTCTTGAACAATGCAGTTTATTGACGTTTGATTAAACATTACCTATTTATTTGTTTGTAACAAAAAGATGAATCAAGACACAACTTTTTGAAATATGGAGTGCCTCTTTACCAAGCTGCTATGGAAGGTGACTGGGAGGCGGCAGACATGATTTTCAAGGAAGATCCGAGGTGGATAACAGCACCAATCACAAAACGAAACGACACAACCCTCCTCATTGCAGCAGCAGCCAAGCACCTTGAATTTGTGACAAAACTTGTAGACTTAATGATTAAAGGAGGTGATCTTCTAGAGTCACGAAACACTCTTGGAAATACGGCCTTTTGCATTGCAGCATCATCCGGAAATGTAGAGATAGCAAAGGTTATGGTTAGGAAAAACCAACAACTGCCTGATATTAAAGGGAGTAAAAATCTGACACCTCTTCATATGGCAATTCTTCTTGGCCATAAAGAGATGGTCAAGTACCTGATAGAGGTAACAGATGACAGCCTTTTAAAAGATGAGGATCGCATCGAACTGCTTACTAGTGCCATAGAGGCTCACTTATATGGTAAATCATACGGGATAGTATAAAATTTTCACAATAAACATGTAAGAGTTCATTTGGTGTGTAGATGTGGCGCTTGGATTTATAAATAAGCATCCCCATTTGGCAGTCCATCGGAACAGGAAGGATGAGACTGTTTTGCATACTCTTGCTGCAAGGCATTTACAAAGCCATACTCCGAAACAAAGCTTATGGGAAAAACTTCTAAGCCAATGTCTGTATTTTAACTCTTACATACATGTTTATTTAGTCGGGAATCCTTTTGCTTTATGTCATATGCATATACTCAGTTTAAAAATTAAAATTCAGGTACTAAAATGCTCGGCAAAGATGAGAAGGAACAGCAGCTGGGATTTGCTCTTAAAGTGACTCAGAGAGCATGGAATGAGGTTATTAAAGAAGATGAAAATGGGATTTCTCAATTGATTGGACTTCCTTGGAGATTATTGTTTGTTGCAGCCGAAATGGGAAATGTTGATTTCCTAACAACATTGATTCTTTCATACCCTGATGTGATATGGAAAATTGATGATAAAAATAGTAGTATATTTCATGTTGCTGTTGTCTGTCGACACGAGGAGATCTCCAAGCTCATACATGAGATAGGAGCTATTAAAGATCTAATCGCTTCTTACACAGACTATGAACATAATAACATGTTGCATTTAGCTGCAAAGATTGCACCTCCTGATAGGCTCAACTGTGTCTCTGGTGCAGCTTTACAAATGCAACGAGAGCTTTTATGGTTTGAGGTTATTCTTCTTACTAGATTTCTTTTTTATTTTTCGTTGTGTTCAATTTCTTACATCTTATGATCATTTTTTTATTAGTATTGATAGCTTTTATTTATTGGCCAGTTAACTTTGTTTTACTAAGTAATAATATTATTAGGAGCACTAATGATTGCTCTTTATATATATAATTAAATCTTATAGGTAGAAAAGAATATTTAGGCAGAGTTAAAGATATCAGCATACTGCAGGATACACGCCAAGCTATTTATTTTGTTTGCTTTGCTGTGAATTATGGCCTGCCTGTTAACCAGTCATTTGAGTTGAGACATAACCCAACATCTCTAATTTATATTAGGCTGTGCAAGACGATGTACAACCGCATTATGCTGTGGCTAAAAATATATCGAGAAAGACACCCCAAACTCTGTTCACGGAAGAGCACAACGAGTTACGACTACAAGGGGAACAATGGATGAAGAAGACAGCAGAATCATGTACTCTTATTGCAACAGTTATTGCAACGGTAATTTTTACAGCGGCTTTCACCTTACCTGGTGGTAATAATGACAAGGATGGATCTCCAATCCCACTAAATAAAGCTTCTTTCAAGGTGTTTGTAATATCGAATGCAGTTTCATTGTTTGCATCCTCAACTTCCATTTTAATGTTTCTATCAATCTTGACATCGCGGTATGCAGAAAAAGACTTTCTTAAGGTACTACCTTTCAAGCTCGTGGTTGGATTAACATCTTTAATAGTATCCATCGCGGCTATGATGATTGCTTTCACTGCTACATTCTTTATCACATTTCAAAAGGGTTCGATATGGATTCCTGCACCGATTGCTCTACTGGCAGCTATCCCAGTTATGTTATTTGGCTTTCAGCAATATCCTCTGTTATGGGATATATATAGTTCAACTTATCCTTCATGGACCTTCTTTCAGCCAAGTAAAAAGCGAAAACTTTTATGGAAGTCTAAAAGTCCCAAAACAAAATTAAGTTAGAAAGTGATTGCATGTTTTTTAAGCTGGGGTTGTTGCATAATGTCATCTTCATCTGTCCACTTGAAAAATCATGTCAAAAAATGGCTTGCTAGAGCTATACTTCTTATTATATATGTTGTATTTGTAACATTTTATTAGAAACTTCACAGTTTTAACTCTTTAATGCCAGTTTAAATATCAGAAGTGATTTTTTCCCGTAGTTGTTAAAACCCTTGATGGAATATTACCTATTTCTAAATATTGTTGTGGCTGTAATTTGTGGAATCACAATAATCCATTTTGAGTTTCTTCGACCTTGAAACTATTTATAAATCAAAAATTTCATAGGTTGTAAAACACCGCCAATATTTCTTTAATTATCATTAACCCCAACATTTGATGCATATGAATAATCATGCCCTTGTTACTTCACCATCACCTTGCCACCACTTCACCCTCACAGTCGGCCCAACACATCAAATCCTCTTTCTAGCGACGCACAACCACCTCTCTCTCACCAGTGACCCACAACACTACCGTATGTACCCCTTATTGGAGACCTAGCACCTCCTTATCATTGGCAGGGTGGTGGTGGTTTTTTTTTTTTTTTGGGAGGCCTAGCCACTAGGTGGCCAAAACCGATTGTACCGGTGGCCAGTTAGCAGCTAAAATCAATCTAATCATTAGCTAGTTCAGCCACTAGTTGGATCAGTTTTGGCCATCAGTACAACCGGTTTTTCCAGTGCCTTGTCACGTGCTGACTTATTTGCCTAAGTCCCCTTGCACGCGGTCCACTAGTCGACAACACCCGTTAGTCTCCTAGTTAGGACTCCCCTTGTTTTGATAGGCTAAGTGTTCTACAAGATTGGCTAAGTAAGAGAAGTAAGATGCTCACAAGAGATTTCAAAGGAAAGCTTTGATTATTTGAGAGAACTTTACAATTGTTGGTTAAGTGTTGGCTAAATAAACAAATGAATTAAATGACCTATTTATAGTCATCCAAGCTCCTATTCAAAGTTTCTAGAGAATTTCTAGCCTCCTCAAATGGAGGGTTTGTTAGGTTTTGATGAGTCCGACTCATTACAAAAAATAAAACCCGAGCCAAGATCAAACTCACAATTAATATAATCAAAAGACATAATTAACAAGAATTAAAGAAAGACCAAATTACCTATGAAGCGTGCTTCGCTCGTTCACCGAGCTCTCACTTGAGAAAGCTTAAGTCTCGCAACGGGCGATAACCTCCTACGGTATCAACCTGCAATACAACCCCGAATAGGTCTATTACTTGAAGGTTAGCCAATTCCGACCAAACTACTCCAGTAATTATGAGTTTAAAGGTTTTCTCAATGGAGATGTCTTTTCTAATTCTTACTCAAGTGAACAATCCCAAGGTATGCCTTGGCTACTGGAATGCTTCCTTGTGAATTCAACTCATCTTTCAATGTGGGACTTTTTCACAAAAAGATCCCACATAGAAAGAATGTTGAATTCAATCCTTAGTTAAATAAACCAAGGAATAACAAAGTGAAAAGTCACATGGTTAGGTGAGGACCACTTCCTCACTTGCTCCCCTAGGCATCTCACATGCATTGTGAGCTAACCACATGGCAGCCAACCTTGAGCTTCAAGTTGGGTTTGGTCGAGCCACCACCTTTTATCCCGCGTCCATGACCTGTCACCTGGGTTCGTGCCCCTTGCCACATGGCGCTTCCACTTGGTGGCTGCCATGTGGCGCCTTGCCACTTGGTGGCTGCCATGATGTGCTACTACATGGCACTGCCACGTGGCACAATTCTATTTGGTGCGCTTCCCTAGCCTTTTGCTCGGTTACTTTTCACTTAAAGCATTTTTCCGTCAAGCCAATTACTAAATTTTGGATCGATTTTTAAGATTCGGTTCTGACGCTCTAAGCTCGGAATTCGACGTCTTTGTTCACAATACTCGAGTGACTTATTAATTCCTTTCAGATTTATTCGTTGCGTCGGATCGTTAGTTACTTGGGTGTGGCCCGAAGGGTTCAGTTAAGATTAAGTTGTAATATTAATTACGCGTTAATATTACCAATCGGAAGCGGCCTCTAATTAGGCATTCCGATCACCTAAACTTACTGAATCATTAGCTTTCTAATAATTCCGAACCCTCTATCGGAATAATTTACTTGTTCGAAGAACACTGTTCCTATCAATCTCCCACTTGTATTTTCGGACAAGTGCACTTTTAGTGTATAGCCTTTTTCCTATGTCGCTTAATGTCTCTTCATGAACTATAAGATAAGATTTATTTGTCATCCTTATTACGTCCAGAAGTGTTTCTCGATATCTGAGTCCGGCGGTCAACAAACAGGTGATTTCCAAAATCCATCCGAGCATGGCCATGCATTTTCACAGTCTCGCTCTTTGAGAGACCTTTTAAACAACAAATACATATTCTCTATTATTAGTAAGGGACATTCCCGGTCTTGTAATTTAGTTTCTCTTACTAAGAGGACCTATCCGCCCGAGTGTTGCCGTTATAGTCTCCATGTATGGTAGACGTTTGACTAACATCAAAACGGACTAGTACTCAAACAAGAGAACTTACAATATTCATGGCCGAGGAAAGGAGTTTTGATAACTATAATGAGAAGTATACTTATGACGATTTTTAAATCTCTTAAAGTATTCTTATCGGTCGATCTAGCATGGTTCTAAACCAATACATATGCAAATGATTTATGACAATCATGTCCTTGTAGCACAAGAAACGGTGCAATTTACAATTTATACGAACTTTTGGGCTGCAATTTGCAATTTTTTTTAAATGGCTGCAATTTACAAAATACGAACTTTAAATGGCTGCAATTTGCAAATTTTTCAATAATTAGTTATAAAAAAAAAAACCAAAATAATGCGGAATTATACCAATTCCGGCCTAAATAGCCAAGAATATTGAACCAACAAGGACATGAGGAGGGGAGGGGAAGAGAGAGACTCTCTTAGTAATGTAATCTTTCCATACAAAACTAAGGCAATAAATTAAATACTCAAATGTTAAGAATTTCTAACAAACATGCATTTTCAATTTACTAATGTTTAAAAAACCAATAAAATCTTGAAAAATAAACTATGTTAGAAAGTTGACATATTCCTTGGAGTATCAAAGAAAAGAGAAGCATACAATAGACGATTCCAAGTATCAGGTAATCCAGGAAGGCACCAGTGACTACAATCCGCAAAAGATGGAATCATCTTCTTATATTTTGTTATATAAATCTTCCATTTCCAACTACTTCTATACACTGAAGGATGTGAATCAATTCTATACTCGGAAAGTTTTGTGATATTTAGGTATTTTACTTGTGATTTGGTCATCCCTTTGATCACCTTCTCTATAACATCGATCAACGATCTCGGAAAATGGTTTACTAAGGACTCGTCCATGGTAGGTTGGGTAGCATTATAGCACCCTTTCCTTCCATTATGTTGTGCTGAAATGCTCCTAAAGAACACGGTTGTTTTCTTCGGGTTTACGTATTTCCTTACCCATTTTGCCCATGTTTTCATGCCTCTTTCGTATGCTTGCTCTACGGACATTGCGTTGTATAATTGTCCTTTGTATTGTAGTAGATCCCACCTACATAAATATATGAGAATTATAGGAAAATTTGTCAAAAAAAACCTTTTTAAAATAACATTTTGCGAAAAAAAAACTTTTAAAAGCTTTTTTGGTTCCAAAAAACCACCACGTTTAATTTTTTTTGCGAAAAAACCTATTTCCTTAATTATCTTCTAATTAATTTAATTAAACTCTAGTTTCCTCCTATTTCTTCTAATTAACCTCTAACACACCCAATTACTTAATAACTGTATTTAATTTATACATAAAAAAAAACAAAAAAAAAACAAAGAAAACCACCACCCAACCACCCAAACCCCTTCTCCTCCTTTACCCCCTCCCTTGGAAGCAACCCCCTCACCCACCGGTATTGCCGCCCAGATCCTCCCCACCTCCGGCGACCTACCTCTACTGTCGATGGACCGTCCCTTTCCCCTTTATCCCCGTTGGCGACCATCATCTCCCTTCGAATTTTTGGATTTTATATACTCTAACATGTTCAAATCAAGTCCAAATCAATTGCAATTTGCTTCTAAATTACCCTAGCATCACATACATACATAATCAAAGCCAAAACAAGCAACAATTACAAGTAGCATGCAAAAAATTAAAAACCCCCTAATCAATTTTCTAGGGTTTTTTAAAATAAAGGAGATAGTTCTTAGGCTGTGATTAGGGGGAAAGGGAGGTTCGTGTGGCGGTGGAGGAGGTAGCTGGAGGTGGGGGATCCGAATTGCGGGTCCGGCGGGAAAGGGGTCGATTCCATGAGAGGAGGAAGGGGAGGGGGAAAGGGTGAAGGAAGGAGGGGTGGTGGTTTTTTTTAATGTATATTAATTAAATCAAATTATTTAGTAATTTGATGGTTTAGAGGTTAATTAGAAGAAATTAGAGTTAATTAAGTTGATTAGAAGGCAAGGTTGGAAATGAATTTTAGACCCGATGTATGGATGGGGATGGGGATGTTAGGCGGGGATGAGTATCATGAGAAAGCCAACATCCGTCTTGCTGCGCCACATTGACATCCCTAATCAAACTAGTCCCTTCGTTTCCAAATGGTGTTCTTGTTTGAAATCTTTGACTTTTTTAAATAAAAAAAAATAAAAAAAAAATAAAAAATAAAAATAAAAATAAAATTCTAAATTTCTCTTAATCTATAAGAACAAATATAGTCGTGTGTGATTTAGTTTGATTCGTCTTGGTCAGTAGATTATTAATATCTAACTTTTATAATTTTTTTATTGTGAAATTAAAGATATTTGCGGTTAAATATGAGAAAAAATTTGCATTGATTTACAAAACATGAACATCATTTTGATTCGAAAGGAGTATTATGAATTGATAATGGTCAAATGTGTTACATCTATTTAAAGATTGGACGAGTAAAATGTTATCAAAGTCTAAATTGTATTGTAGCCTTGTAGGATAT